CAATAAGAAGGCCGACTTTGGCATTGTGGCATATGAATCACTCATGGATATGTCTCATTCTGCTGTTAACACTAAGAGGAGAATTGGCTTTCCTTCGCTTATCCATCAACTTCTGCACTTTCAGCAAATTGTTCTCCGTCGTGAACAAGATGAAGAGCTCACTGGTCACCCTACTGCTCTCATCAAAGATGGCAAAGCAGGCAGAGGAACAGGGGGAATTCTCAAACTATCCAATCTGGTTGACGATCTACAGAAATTCATCAATGATCTTCGTGCAATTCAGCTTAGGACTCGAAGTCAGTGTTTACTATCCTTATTTCTTCTTGATCATTACAAATTGTTTTATCTAATGATGCACTCAAGCAGGGGTAGAAGATATTGGAGAAGATCCGGTGCACATAATTGATAGCGATGATGAGGAGGAATAAGAGTTCTAGATGCTGTGGCTGTTTGCGTTTGATGTTTCTAGTCCTAGACTTTACATTTGTTTCATGTTTCTTAGGATTATCTAGAACAAATCTTCTAATGTAGTGATCGGATATCATGTATCTTGACTTCTATCTTGATCTTTCAATAAATGCTTTTGGAATTCGTATCTTGTTGTTACAGCCTTTGGATTTCAGACTACACTGGTGTTGATCTTGAAGGTCGGACTTGGCCAAGAACCGGGACAGAGATGGCTAGTGATTAAGGCTGCGAGGGTGGGGTGAAGGCCGGTTGTGCCTGAAACAAAGAGTGGAACTTTTTATAAGTTTTTATGGATTTTAAAAGATAAACAGAAGATAAACAATATGAAATTGATGAACAACAGAAAGAACACGATTTTTATGATTTTTAGATTTAAGAGAAACAAGTGAAAACTAAATGAAAACAAGCAAACAAAGGGATAGACAGATGGTTTGATGGATGGATATGGATTGACTCTCTCAATCAGTGGAAGAACAGATGGTCTTGAATCTCACAAGCTTCTCTGGTAGTGGCTTTTTTAGGACTTAGTGAATCTCACACAAAGAACTAAAGAAAGAACAACAAAGAATACACAACTTTGTTAAAAAAAAAAACTGTTTCTATTACTTTAAAATGATCAAGGGTGGTTTTACAATGATGAATGGTCTTTGAGCTTATATAGGCTCATCCATTACTAGGCTGCAATGTTCTAATAATCTAGAAAGGAAAGAAAATAAACGAAAATAAAGCAAAGGAGTTATTGGGATGACTCCCTGATGATTTGGGGCAGATTTGTAGCACTTGAGAGTATCTTCTTGTATCTTGATATCTTGATTGTGTATCCACGAAATAGGAGTCTCTGATGGCTGAATAAACTTTCCTTTGTCTTGATATTTTCTGGTTCAAAGGAAAAGAGACGTTGGTCATGTACTCCTTGAGATGTGAAATCTTCTTCAAAAGGTAAGTGGCTGGAAATATGGATTCTCTTAATCCCATGCTGGCTTGTGTATGGTAAGGTGAATGGGGGCTCTCCTGGTTTGCTGGACTGGTCTTCTGGAAGTCTTGGTTTGCCTGTAATGTGTCTTGATTGAAAAAACTCGGTTTGGGAATAGTTGGTCGGATTGAATTCCCAAACTTTTCATAATCGGATCGCAATAACTGGTTTTGAGAAACTGGTTATATCTTCGGTCTGATTCGTCTTTTTCTCTTAATTTTGGGTTTCCTGGATCCACAAAAGATCCCTCTTGAACTCCATAATTTTCCTTGGCACGATCCGCTTCTTGGCTGGGCTTAACTCCTCTTCTAAATACCGATACTCGCAAACGGATGGGATGGGTAACTTCCAATTTGTAAAGTTCATATCTTCCTGGTCCGTGAAACTTTTCGTGAAATTCCAAGCCTCAATGTCTCCTTGATAAGTTAAACGTCTTGTAAAATTGGTTTCCTGAAAATACTCCTTCTGGTTCCCGAGATATACTCCTTTGACTGAGCATATATTGCTGGTATCGCCAATGTGGTCGGTTTGGGCAGTATGGTGAGGCTGTGGTGGTTCCTTGGATTTCAGGACCGTAACACTTGTCTTGATAAAATCTATGAAATTTGCTTGGTTTCTTGGTTGTTTGGTTGTATGCTTTGTGACAGGTCCTTAAGGTGTCACATTAAGATAAAAAAGGGGAGAATGTAAGGTCAGTGTCTGAGCATGTTGGCTGGTGTGTTACGCAGACAGGAAGTTGTGTCACACACATGATAAGCTCAAGGTTTGAGCACGAGGCAGATGTGTTACATATGTCAGCGAGTGTGTAACACATTTTGCTAAAGATGAGAAAGCCGTGTTTGAAGATAATGACCCAAGATTTTTGGAGGTTTGTTGATTAACAAACGAGAAGATAATTCGGATGATTTCGACTTATCACAATAAGATACGATGGAGTATATATTGGTGACAGAGTTCATTAGCTAGGTTACGGTTTAGAGATCTATTGTTGTCGAGCTAAGAGTATGTTACTTCGCCTCGATACTTATTTTAGCAATTGGTGAGATTGTCTCAACCTTTGTTCTTTAGGTAGACTAAGAATTGGTCTGTCTCTAGTCAAGTTGTGGCGTTGAGTAAATCGCATTAAACAGATCTAGAATGATTGTTTAAGTGATTCTTAATAAAACAAATTAGTTTTTTTGGAATTCCTGGATATTGTTCTATCATGGTATCCATACGAAATTTCAGTATGGGTATTTATAAACGATTCAGTGTGGTGCTAATCAAACCAAAACGTAAATCTGTAATAAAAGTTTAATTTGTAATAGTTCTCACCATTTGTAATATACTTCATCCATTTCACTTTAGTTGCCATTTTATATTTTTGCACAGATTAAAAAAATATTTAAATTTTACATATTTATAAGATAAATCATACAATTACCTATATACCTAAGCACTTTTCAACCAATAGAAAAATAAAATAACATAAAAAATTAATAAATTTTACATTGAACTTATAAAACAATATTTATTTTAAATCAAAAATTTTACTCGTTACAAATAACAGAGGGAGTAATAACAAATCAGTGTTAAAAACATAAATAGAGAGAGACTAATACAATGTTGTTCAAGAATATCGATTCCTTCACCACATACAATATGTCAAGAAAATTCACTTCTGGTGCTTTAAGAAGAATTCACAACAAAAATCGTTTATTGGAGAAAAAAACTTTCTAGAAAAGCCAATTAACACTGATGTTACCGAGCCATATCAAAAGAGGGAACTGGACCAAGGCCAAAAACAACAGGAGGTAATGATGTCTGCTCGAATCATAACTCCTGACTTCAGCAAACAGAACACGTTTCATCGTCTTGACCAAGAAAACCCCAGTGCATAAACACGTCCATGGCATCAACGCATAATACGAGTATCCCCACATGATCTTAGCAAAACCCGCAAGGCATAGACCAGCAAAAGCATAGCCTCCATATGCCACAATGTCTAGCAAAGGCGCCTCTGCGCTACCAAGTGATAGAAGCGTTACTTTCAGGAGCAACACTTGCAAAAACCAACCAACCAAACCTTTCACAAACAGCCAATTCAAAGCTTCGGGTGAAAACCTACATGATTTCAGGTTTGAATCATTGAACCCTTAAGACTTAAAACGCTGAGAGAGAAGCATAGGGTCATAAAAACTTACTTTCCGTTAAGTCCCAGTGAAAGACCAGCAAGAACAACGTATGTACCAAATGCCATAAAGGGAATGTACAAGTCTGGTGCATTGATATCATAGATTGGGGGCTTGTAGGAGAGCCTACCCCCAACTGGTTCAGAGATTCTAGCCCAGTGTCCCTGATCGTTTGAAGCAGAAGAACTCACACTAGTTTTAAATCAACGGCTGGTATGAGAAGGTTTCAAACAAAAGGAGAAAAGAAAACACAAGCTTACCCGGTGAAGGAAAGGAAAGAGAACAACCTTGAGTTTGTTCCTAACATATTGATCATTCACTTGGAAATAGTATTGGGGATCAGAGAAGTAACGAGTAATCTGTTCCATTTTCAAGAAGAATAAATACAAGTTTAAAATTGAAGAAAATAATCAAATGTTACATGTGATGAAAATAGTAAAGACTTACATTGCTCTGCACATACTCAGAGCTTGATCCAAGAATCCTCTCCCCATACGCACCCAAACCGCCACGGATAAAACCAGAGGCAGGTCCAGTGAAGGGATTCCCAAACGGACCGGGCTGAGGGTTTCCAGGAGGTCTTGGCATCACTGGTTGAGGTCCCATGTTATTATTGTACATCTCTGTCATCAAAACCAAAACAATTACCAATCAACACAGCTAATATCTCCCATATTTTAAGAACCACCAAACAGTTTGCATCTAAACATTCTTAGAAGATCCTGCAAAACTCTCTTTTAATCTTCAAAATGCCAACCATGTGAGAGCGAAACCGATCATCAGATGATTCAAGCACTAGATCCTAATAGTCATGGTCTCGATTTGTAACAAGTTTTTTTTAATTTTGATCGAGACAATGCATTACCAAATATCTAACCCTAGATCTACAAGAATTCAACAGGAGATACACAAATGAGCTAAACACACAATCTTAAGAGCTTTCGAGTTCGATAACACAAGCAATCCGAGCTAAATCCATCCAAATAAATCAAAAAAGAAATTTCCACAACAGATCCACGGGAAACAAGAAAACTGACCCGAAGAAGCGTGATGAAAAACTTCGAATCTAAAAGTTAGAGCTTACTTGTACGGGAAACAAAGGACTCTCTCTCTCTCTCTCTCTCTGAGAGAAACTAAACCGCCGAATGATCTGCGCCTGGTCTCGAAGATGAAGAAGAAGGCCTATGAACTATATTCTTAAGTTGGGCCTTTAATAATACTAATGGCCCCCACTAAGGGTAGGATACCGCTACTCATGTAACCAAAAAAACACGAGCAATTAGATTTACACGATATAATAAGCAACTTGAGAACAAATTTTTAAAACCCCCACCCCTTTGCCCGTCGAAACCCTAAACTCTGATATTCTCGAGGTTTTAGTAAGAGAGATGGCGAAATCAATGAGATGCAAGAGGGTGAAGAGATTGAGAGCTATAAGAAGAGAAATTGTGGAGAAGGAATCATTCACCGTTACTAGAGAAGATGTCAAATCCACTGCCATAGAAGCCGCACTCGCCGCCCCTAAATTACCAGTTCGTCTACCACCTAGGGCTGGGCATTCGGGATCCCATTCGGGTTTCGGTTTTGTCCAATCGGGTCTCGGTTCTTCGGGTTTATCAAAATCAGCCCCATTCGGATTATTTGAAAGTTCGGTTCGGGATCGGTTCGGGTTCTATCGGGTTCGGTTCGGGGTTAGTAAATCTTTAAAGAACCGGTACAACCCGTTATACTTTCGGATTCGGGTCCCAATCGGTTCTTTGGTTTAAAAATACTTGATTTGTACCTACTTTTTAACCAAAACATCGGTTCTTCGGATTTAAAATACCTAATGTGTAACTATTTTGTAACCAAAACATAAGTAAAATTTATTCAAAAATAAGAAAGAAACATCAAAGTTAATCATTCAAAATCAACTGAAAGGTTAACATAGTTATTAATAGAAAGAAAACCAAATAAATGAAAGCGTAAACGAAAATCAAGTTCTTAAAAAATGAGAAACATTATTCAATAATAACAAAACATTAATCTAAAAATTTCAAGTTTCAACCGCCACCTTCAACCATCAACCTTCATGTAATAGATAATTATTTATATGTTTAGTAATATCTTAAAATATTTTGGATTTATATTAGGAATTAAGATCATGTTCAGTACATGTTCTTATTAAAAATTTTGAATGTTTCGGGTTCTATCGGATATCCATTTAATTTCGGGTTCGGTTCGGATAATACCCATAACCCGAAATACCATAAAACAAGATCCATTCGGTATTTAAATCGGGTTCGGATCGGTTCGAATTCATTTTTCTCGGATCGGGTTCGGTTCGGGTTTTCGGGTTCGGTTTATTTGCCCAGCCCTAATTTATATCCTTTAGATAAGATGCTGTACATATTTTTAACCTGAGCCAATTGTAAATCAGGAGCACGAATCTCATTTAACTAGTTAAAAACAATTGTCAGCATAAAATAAGATTCACATTTTTGTTATTGTTCAGACAACGAAAGCACAAAATTACAAGTGAAACCAAACAAGAAAGATTCTTTTATAGACTTTGGACCAGTCTTTTCAATCAGTAAGGTCTGGAGTTAGATTTGCTGCAAACCCTCCTTATCTCTCCAGTACGAATTTAGCAGTAATGACACCAACATTGACCAGCTTAGCCATTTACGCAGCAAACTGATGTCTGACCATCTGAGGTGGCTGCTCCGCGAAAGCCTTTACAAGCGGACCCAAGTGTTCTAGGGTTCTTAACAAGCTCCTAATCAGTGGCAAGACTCCCAATTTCTTCTGAAGATTGATGTAATACTGATTATTGAATACTTACCGTTAGTTGCCATAGCAGTGAAGCGTAATGAGGCCACCTTATTTTGGGGTTCACCGCCTCGGAGTCCTGAAGCAAGGCGAATTCAAGAAAGCGACGCTTCAACCTCATCTCGAGCCGTTTCGAATGCCTCACTCACGCCTCATCACACTTCACTACTATGGCGACTAACGGTAAGTTTCAAATCGAAATTTATTTTTCATTTAAATAAAAAGAAATTATGATTAAATATATAATTAAAAAAAAAACTTAACAAAAAAAACCTTAAAATTATTTTCCAACTCTAGCGCCACTTCTTATTCTTCCTTCAGATCTAAGATCTTCTCCTCCGGTCGGCGCTTCTCGCTGTGTTGTGAGAGGACCTCCATTAACTCTCCTTTCTAGCTTGAGTTTGCTTTTAGTGTTTTGAGCCTCGATGGTGGTGGTTAATACTGAGCTTTTCTTTGACGGCTATGGCGTATGAGATGGTGTCGAGCGGTGGGTGGGTTCTAGTTTGTTCTCGGTGAGGTTGGCTTCTATGTCATGGCGTGATCTCTCTCCGTTTGTAAGTGATGGTGAAGCTGATTGTAGATCTGAGGGGTTTGAGTCTGGTTCGATGGTGTCGCCTTGCAGCTCATTGAAAGACCGTTGTCATTAGCTTCTCTCGGTCTGTGGTTAGTATGTAGTGGTTATATTGTCAAATTGAAATGAATGTGTTTGTGGCTGGTTTTTCTGGTTCTATCTTGGTGGCCAATGGTTTGGTTTTGGAACCTTTATCTAGCTAAGGTTGTGGTTGATTTTCTCTTGTTCATGCTCAAATCTGGGTTTTGATGTTTCCATGCATGGAGTTTTGACACTTGATTCAGCAGACTTTACTCTTTAGGTGATGGTTGTAGTGATTGATTGTCGTCCGTCTTTTTGTCTGTGAGAATTTCGGTTGACAAGGCTTCGTTTTGTGGTGTTTTGGTTAGGCTTCTGTCTTGGAGTAAATGGACGTTTATGATTGTGTCGCATCCGTACCTGAAGGTTGTGTGGATCGAGTAACGGTCCCCCTTGTCGGGTTATGAAGCCTTAGGTTCATAGTTCTTGGACGTTATCGTTTGGCAGGTTTAGGCAGGTGTGGGTATAAGAAGTTGAGGTTATCGTGTGGCAGGCTATGAGCAGCAGCGTAAATCCCGATCTTTAACATGTGTTTATTTCTTTAGTCTGCTGAGTTATTTTATTTAAGCACATGTATAGTAGTTAATCGTATATCTTGTTTTTTATTGCAGTTTAGTTCTCATGCTTTATTTTCGTAAGTTGCCTCGGTGTGGGTTTTAGTTGCCGCCTTCTTGTGGGCTCTTGGTTCTATGGTGTATTTCACTTTGGAATAAATTTTACCAGACGAAAAAAAAGATTAAGAATATATATACTTTCTGTTTATAGTTTCAAAACTTCAAGTTACGTAAAATTGGCTAATTAATGTTTTACTTTTTTGAAAAAAATATATTCATCGTCTCTTGCATTTCTGGTTCGACAAACCTAAAAACCTTTTGGTTCTTGTTTCTGCTTTGTTTTCTAAATTTCCCTATTCTTTTCTTATTACTATGTCTACTTCAACTAAGCAAGTGGATCCAGCAAGAAAGTATGCAACTGCTGATCCTAAGAAACATGGTCGTTGGATATGCAACTTTTGTGGTAAGATCATGAATGATGGAGTTTCAAGGTTAAACATCATATGGTAGGAGGCTTTTCCACTGTTATTGCCTGTCCTAAAGTTCTTGATTATGTCAAGGAAGAAGTCAAGACCTTCCTCATGAACAAAGATGGTGCTAAAGCTGCTCTCCAATTAAAACAACCAGCCTTTGATTATGATGAAGAAGTAGAAGAACCAAGTCAAAAACGCCAATCTCAGCCCAATCTAAAGAAATGCAAGGGTCCTATGGACAGGTTTGTTGAACCTACTCCTCTTGATGTCTTGAAAGGAAGAAAATACAGAACATATTTCTTGGAGTATGTGATAAAGAACTTAGGGACAACGCTTGTAGTGTTATTCCAAAGTGGTTCTACGATGCAGCGATTCCTTTCAATGCTGTCAACTATAACAGTTTCAAGGAGGCACTTGAATTAGTAGCTCAATATGGTTCTGGTTTTAAACCACCAAATATGTATGAGCTGCGAGTTCCTCTCTTAATTAAAGAAGTCAAGGAAGTTGAGAATCAGCTGGTGGAACACGAAGCAGAATGGGTAGCAAAATGTTGTTCAATCATGTCTAATGGATGGCGTGATTCAGTTGTTCAAAAGGACATCATCAAGGTCCTTGTTAACTCTCCAAAGGGATCAGTTTTCATCAAATCTATTGATGTTTCAGAGGCTGTGAAAGACACTAACTTGTTGTTTATCATGCTTGATCGTATGGTTGATGAAGTTGGAGAGGCTAATGTTGTTCAAGTGGTAACTGACAATGCATCAAACTATGTTAAAGCTGATAAGTTTATATTTGTCTAATCTTTATGTGGTTTTGCTTATGTAGTTATTATGAATCTAACTTAATCTTCTATTCTTTTAATTCGTAGGGAAGCTGCTAATGGCAAAAGACCTCATCTGTATTGGTTTCCTTGTGCAGCACACTGCATTGATCTCATGTTGGAGGATATCGGAAAGATTTCTTCAATTAAGGTTGTTATAAGAAGCTGCATCTTCATGAATGAATACATCTATGGTCATACATCTATGGTGAATATGATTAGAAGGTTCACAGATCAAGGAAATCTGCATAGACCAGTGGTTACTTGATTTGCTACATCTTTCACACTTGGCCAGTACTACAACCACAAGGATAACTTGAGAAATTTTGTAACTTCTAAAGATTGGAATGATGCAAAGTGGTCAAAAGAAGCAGGATCAAAGAAGGTGAAACAAATCATTTTGCAAGAGAGCTTCGGGAGAAATATGGATGTCGGCACATGAGACTAATTTGGGGCAGGCTTTCTCCATTTCGGACTTGATATCATCAATCAGCTCGAACCCTCTTAGGGTTTTGCTAGCAGAAGATCTTCTCTCTGATCCTTCGTAGTCTAGAAGAGCCGACGCATCACATCTCTAAATGTTGTTATATATTCATGAAAGATTTGTTAACTTCTCTTTTCAAATGTACTATAAAATACACACACAAAATTATGTTCATATATATGACTATACCTCAAAATGAAATGAAATATGTTACATATGAACCAAAATCATTTGATATGGTATGAGAGTAAAGAGCTAATGGAAATACTACCCAACTGAAATATTGAAGGAAAAAGGATGTAGTTGCAATACCGTGACGCCGAAATCGTGGAAGAGAGAGCGGAGGAGGGTAGGGCCAAGGGAAGGGTCACTCTTTGTCCATTCCCTCACTTTGGTATCAACGGTTTTCTCAAAGTTTGGGCAAGTTGTTGTGACAGACCGGATGCACTCCTGGCCAGATGCTCTATTAGAGCCAGATCGGATGCCCGTGCTGGAGACTAGATGGTTAACTAGAGCCAAACGTCTGTCATTAGATGTCCAATCCCTTGTTTAGTATGATATTGTCCGCTTTGAACCTAAGCCCTCACAAATTTTTTTTTTGGTGGTTACTCCCAAAAGGCCTCATACTAAGTACTGAGATTGGACCAGATATATATATATATATATATATATATATTAGACTTTATTCTGTCTAATATTCAATGTGGGATTAGGATTACCTTTTTTACTTATTCTAACACAAGTATTATCATAATAATTCAACGATAATAGATTGTCCTGAGGAAACTATGACTTCATGTCATCCTTCTCCTCCTCATGCTCGTATCCTTCAGCTGATACCAGCCATGCCACAAAAACCACGACTAGGATGACAACTGAGACCACATCCAACTTCACTGCGTTGCCTTTTTTCTATCTTTTTCAATTTGATTGAATATGAATTTGTTTGAGAAGTTCGAGATTGAGTGTGAGAGTAATTTATATTGGGTTTTACGTGGGAAGGTGGAGGCACAACTTTAAGATTTTGTTAATACAAATGAGTTGCTTGCATGTCGTGCAGAATAATATATGACTTTTTTTGGTAAAAATGTAAAGATATTATTACCAATTTCCAAATTTTTTACAGAAATACAATGACACATAGAAGCAGAGAAAAGAAAAGAAAAACTAAACATTGACTCGATCTAGTCTAAGCAAGGACAGAGGCAACAAACAATAGCTAGTAAACAAAGGCCTCAACTAAACCACACAGCTGCGTTCCGCAAAAGAAAGGGTCACAGTTAAACCGAGAGACAGAACCAGGTTATTTTGCCCTCCCCGATGATCTGCTCTAAAAGATCTGACCCAAACAAGAATAGCTAGACGTTAGAATCCACCAACACAAACAGCCAGCCACACTTGAGGTCCAGCACCAGCCTCAACAAACCAAGCATTTATTCTGGAAAGAAAAAGATTACAATGCATAGCCCAAAATCAATTGAAAACAGATCTCGAATCCAATGTTTACTAAACCTTTAGGCCACATACGCAGTAGCTCGCAAGATGGCCTTTCGCCTTAGATTCAGCACGACTCCACATGAGCCTTGATGGTCACATCCTTGTTAGAGACCCAGAACTAAGACATATTGGCCCACGGAACCGGAGAAGCAGAGGAGCAAACAGAAAAAAAAAAGAGATAAAGGGAAGAAAGGCTCCGCCTACCGGCGAAGGCACACGGCGGCGGAGGAAAACGCGATTAGGGTTTGAAGAGAGTTAGAGAGATGGGAGAGAAAGAGAGAGAAATTGTTCCATGATCCACCAAAATATATGACTTGTTTGTATAAGAGGACACATGAAATTTATACATTCTTCTAACTAGATTTTGTTTTTTTGGAAATTTTGTTTTTAGGCCAAAATAATTAATACATTGTCCTTTTAAGCTAATCTCATTCTCTAATGGTTCTATTAAGCTAAATATTCTCTAAATGACAATAATATCCTTAAATTTAGTTTATTAATTCAAAATTCTAGTCATAAAATAACAATTATATATTTAATATTTAATAAAAAAAACTAACCCGAAATTAAAAAAAATATTTTCAAATTTTTTAGTCAATAATTTTCTTTCGAAATTAAAAAGAAATATTTCCAAATTTCCAAATAAAAAAATTTATTCGAAATAACAAAACATTCCCAAATATATTTCCATAAATTTTAAAAACTAATTCGAAATTAAAAAATATTTCCAAATATTTAAAAACTAATTTGAAATTTTAAAAATAACAGTAAAACTTAATCGAAATTAATAAAATACCCAAATATTTTATTTCCAAAGTTACGAAATTCTAAATAGTTTTAAGAAAAAAAAATTCAAATATGTAAATAAAATAGAAATATTTCCAAATATAATTAAATAGTTTTTTGTTTGAAAATATTGAATTTTAATATATGGTAACAAAATATTTTCAAATATTTTATTCCCAAAATTTCTCAACTGATTGTCTTTATCCATATAATATGTATTCTACTATATGTAGAATGAAGTCAGAATGTTTGAAATCAATTTCTATAGGTTTTAGATTGTAGATTCCTATTTCTACCTATTTTAGATTTATAGTAATGTTTAGATTTCGATTTCTACTAATTTTAGAGAGATATGTTAAGTGCGGAATATGTATTCTAAATAATTTTAGATTACAATAATGTGTTCTTATAATTATTTATACTTCTAGAGATTTGAATTGATACTAGAACGTTTTAGATTGTAGATTCCTATTTCTACCTATTTTATATTTATAGTAATGTTTAGATTTCGATTTGTACTAATTTTAGAGAGATATGTTAAGTGCGGAATATGTATTCTAAATAATTTTAGATTACAATAATTTGTGTAGAACATGTATTCTGAACATAGTAGATTTTATGGAAAAAAAATAGATTTCATATTCTACTTCGTAGAACACCAATTCTAATATCTGTAAAAAAAAATGAAATTATGATTTATTTATTTTTAAACTGGAAAAATACCACTAGATTAATATAGGTATTTCGTCATTAGCTACTATTTTTTTATTCTTTATTTTTTATTTATCATAAAACTATTTATTTGATTAATTTCTGAAAATATTTAAGGACATTAGAGTCAAAAATGGGAAAAAATAAAAATTAGCCTAAAAGGACAATTTTCTAATTATTTTGGCCTCAAAAATAACTTTCCCTTTTTCGTCAACTTTGATTGGGGTATTTTAGTTTGTTTCATTTGTCGGCGAAGGTATTATTATTTCTCTTATTTTATTGTATGGTAGTCCATAACACACATGCATAAAAAAGTTGATACAGCTTCTGTCCCTCTCTCTTCTTAAGATCTTTGAGAGTGTGATCGTCTTTTGATTCTCGCCAGGGTCTTTCCCGGCGTTTTTTACATATCGTTCGGTTTTTTTTGGTATTAGAGAAAATTCCAAATATGTGGAAACTTAACATATTTGACATAATTTTAAAGAAAATTGTCTTCGCTATAAATATAGATATTATGAAAAGTTGTTCCATATGATCTAAGAGAAACATATTGAGAACTTTAATTTTGAGAAGTTTCTAAAGCTAATAAGTAACTTTGTTCTTATAATTCTTTATACTTCTAGAGATTTGAATTGATACTAGAACGTTATGTTGGAGACTTGATCTAAGCTTAAGTTAAAGCTAAGATCCTTGTCCTTGTAAAGAAGAGATCGCGAACGTAAGATGGCAGACGCAACTAGGGCTCCACGAACAAAGGACTTTGGATCAGCATCCGTCCAATGTCCGATGTAGACATCGACAAACTACACAGTTTGGTCGATGAGGATGAAGGTGTTACTTCGTGCTCATGAAGTGTGAGACACGATAAAACCAGGCTCAGATGATCAAAAGAAGAACGATGTTGTGACAGATCTTTTGTATTAATTTGTTCCCAAAACTTTGATTATCCAAGTGAGAGAACAAACTGCATTGGAAGACATCTAGAACGCCATCAAATCATGACACCTTGGAGCTGATCGTGTAAGGGAGGCGAGACTTCAGACGTTGATGACAGAGTTTGATAGGTTGAAGATAGATGATAATGATACGGTCAATGACTTCACAGGGAAGATATCAGGCCTATCATCTAAAGCAGCCTCGTTGGGAGAAAACATAGAAGAATCCAAGATGGTCAAGAAGTTCTTGAAGGGTCTTCTGAGACACAAGTACATCCAGATCGTAGCATCGCTTGAGCAAGTCCTAGACCTCAACTCTATGGGTTTTGAGGACATAATTGGAAGGCTTAAGGCGTACGAGGAGTGTGTAGGTGAAGAAGAGGACCAAGGGAAGCTGATGTTTTCGAAGAATGATCAGAATAGTCAGAGGAGCTATGAAAATTTCAGAGGTAAGGGTAGAGGAAGGAATGGTAGTGACACAGGCCAAGGTAGGTCATAGTCAAAATAATGTGTTACACAACGAAGACAAAAAACTTGAAGAAGGATTGTTCAAAGGTGATATGTTGGAGATGTGACAAACCGGGTCAATATGCAACTGTCTGTTCCGGGAAGTCAATGAAGAATCAAGAAACAAACCTAAATGATACACAAGAGGCTGATAAACTCTATGTACATGAGGTGGTGTTCTTGAATAAAGACAAGGTGATTCCAAAGAATCTCGATATCAACAAAGGCGATGCAAGTTTTTGGTATTTAGATAATGGAGCGGGTAATCACATGACGGAAAACAAGGAGTTCTTTTCGAGTTTGGATCAAAACACCAAAGAGAAGGTGAATTTTGGTGATGGATCGTATGTTGATATCGTTAGAAATGGTGTGATTACCTTTTATGCAAGACTGGAGAGAAGAAGGAACTCAAAGTCATCTACTACATACCCGATCTGAAGCACAACATATTGAGTCTTGGACAAGCAACAGAAAATGGATATAAAGTTAACATGAAATATGTCTACTTAACGCTCACGGATTCATGTGGAAGGTTTTTATACATGTCACAAGATCTCCAAACCATCTCTACAAGACCCCGATGGATATCAGCTACCCGGAATGTTTACATGTCAAAGATGAAGATGCTACATGGAGGTGGCATGCTCGACTAGGACATATAAGCTATGGAGTGATGAACAACATAGTAAGGAAGGAGATGGTCGTAGAAATGCCGTGTGTAACACACGAAGAAAGCGTTTATGATGCATGTTTGGCAGGGAAGCATATTAGACACTCATTCCGACTAAGGCCATGTTTCGTGCGACCAAAGCCGTTAAAGTTATTGCGTGGACACTTGTGTGGACCGATCACACAACCAACACCTGTAAATAACAATTATGTCTTTGTACTGATTAATTACTTCTCTAGGTATATGTGGGTTATACCAATACAGGAGAAGAGTGAGGCATTCAATCGATTCAAAAGTTTAAAGAAAATGTTGAGAAGCAAACCGGGCCAAACATTAAAAAATTTCGCATGCAGGAGGAGAGTTTACCTCAGCTGAATTAAATCTATTCTGTGAAGAGAATGGATTTAAAATTCACATTATCGTGCCTTACACACATCAATAAAACGGTGTAGTCGTGAGAAGAAACTGAACCTTAATGGGAATGATAAGAAGTTGCTGGAGGCAACGAAGATGCCAAAATAATTATGGGGAGAAGCTGTACAAAATTCAACTTACCTCATCAATTGAGTTCCTACAAAAGACTTAAAGGATCAAATGCCATAAGAATGTCTTACATCGAAGAAACCAAATATTGAGCACTTGGGGATATTTGGGTGTGTAGCACACGCGAAGATATGTGTGAATCATCTGAATAAGTTAGATGAGAGACCAAAGTGTATGATCAATCTTGGAACTGAGCCGGGTTCCAAAGCTTATAGACTCTATGATCTAGTTAAAGAGAAGGTTATGGTAAGTGGAGATATGATCTTTGGTGAGAAGAAAGCTTGGAATTGGTCATTTACAACAACTCAAGCGGATTGTAAACCAACTATACTTAAACTTCCACATGAGGGTGAGACTGAAGAAGGTAATGATCATGGTGATGATCATGAACATGAAGCTATAAACCAAGATGAGGAAGAAGAAGAAGATACGAATCACGATGAGAACCAAGACAGTGGTGGTCAACCGTTGGTGAGTAGACACGGTGGCACCATAACAAAACCAAGGTATCTTGACGATTATGTGTTACTTGCAGACCATGAAAGTGCAATGCTTCTGCTCACAGTGGATGGTGAGCCAGAGAAATATCTTAAGGCTGAACACATAAAAGAATGGATTGAGGCAATGGTGGTCGAGTTGGAGTCTATCACAAGAAAAAATACGTGGGAGCTTGTGGATATACCAGCTGGAGTGAAACCGATAGGGTTAAAGTAGTTCTACAAGATAAATAGAAAGTAAAATGGTACTGTGAGCAAGTACAGAGCGAGACTTGTGGCAAAAGGCTATGTACAAAGACAAGGAATATATTTCGATGAAGTGTTTGCACACGTGGAACGACTCAAAACTATAAGGCTCTCAATAGCTCTCACAGCAACAAACAGTTGGGAGATACATCACATGGACGTGAAGACTGCTTTCTTGAATGGAGA